TCTTTCCCTTAGGCCCTGGTCCAGTCTTTGGCCTGCCCAGCCCAATCTCGGCAAAGATCCTGCTACGTCACCCCCACCCTTGATCTCTGATCGCCCTCATTATCTGATTAAGCGCCTCATCCCTCCCTCACGAGTGGTAGCTAATCTTCTTGGCCTGTAGTTTGCAAGATCCCCTGCCCTTGAAGTCTCTTAGTAACTTTCCATCCACTGGCCACTCACCGCTCCTTGGCTGTAAATCCCCCTGTTCCTTGTTGAACTTGGAGTTGAGCACAATCTCTCTCCTCTGATTGCAGTAATCTTGAGTAAAGTCTTCCTTACTCTTTTAACAAGTGTCAGAATAATTTTTTCTTTCACAGGGGTCAGAGGTTGCTTTCCCAGGGTGTCACGCCACATCCGAAGCCCAGGGCCCTGGAGAGTGGTGAAGGGCCTGCATGTACGAGGGACCCCTGGCAGGCCAGGGCTTGCAATTCAGTGGGGGAGAGTGGAATTTTGCTATAGGGTCTCCCATCCCATCCAAGCCCACCATTTTTATTGTAAAGACAATACAGAGAATTCTAAGAAAAGCATCCCCAACAGTAGTTTAACAACTGCTGCATTTTCTGTATTTCATCCTGTGTGCTGTACTTTGCTGGGACACACCGTTTTGTGAGGGGTCTACCAGTCAGTTCTTGCCCTGAGCCCCCTCACCCATGCCTGGGTCCTACCGTATGGTGGATGGGCCCAGAAACAATCTTGAGTGAGTGGAACCGGGTGTGAGGGGCGTGGGGCAGAGGGCACAGCTAGCTGGAGCACAGGTGGCCCGGACTGCCATGCCACCTCCACAGTTGTCCCAGTGCCTGTGGCCCCACGGGGGCTCCTCTGATCAGCTGGTGAGGGATGGCCAGCTCAGTGTGGGGCTGGAAACTGCAGGGAGCTGCAGGATGTCACCCTCGGGTGGCCCTGAAAGACTGGTGAAGGCCGATGCCCTCAACAGGCAGAGCTTCGAGCAGGCTGTCAGCCTGGGCTTTGGTTTGATCCTACTTGCAGGCTGGTAAGTCAGCCTGTTCCTCCGCTCTGGGGTGGGGAAGGGCACTGACCTTGGGTCACACGTGGACTCACAGGTGGGCAGGAATGGCCTGACCCTCTGGGTGGTGGTGGGACCGAAAGGAGAGAGATGGGAGAATAGGGAACCGGGAGGTCTGGCAGAGACACTGAGGGTGGGCTGCGGTGCAGAGATCCTCATACCCAGCAGTGAGGCCACCGGGCACCGCCCACGGACGAGGCACTGGACGGCCAGGGAAGGCAATGCCTCGGCCAGTTGATGGCCATCAGCCTCTGTCCTCAGCCAGCCCGGTGCTGGCTGGTGAGTCAGACAGGGCAAGGCCATGGTGGCCCAGACGGAGGCTGCACACGGTACCGTCCCTCAGAGAGACGGGACGGTGACGCACTCGGGCAGGATGGACACGTTCTGGGGCTGGCCTCGGCTTTCCCACCTGCAGGGCCTCAAGCAGCAAGCACCGTGGTCTGAAGGCTTGCTGTGGTTTGATCCACCAGCACAGGGTCCCACAACACCTTGTCAGATCAGGGGACCCACATCAGAGACACGAAGACCCTGCGTGATCTGGCCCCTGGACCCTCCCCTCATCTCGTGCCCCACTCCCCTGGCGCTCTCCACGGCCACCATGGCCTTCCTGGTGGTCCTCAGACACACGACTTGAGTTCACCTCGGGGCCTTTGCACCTACTCTTCCCTGTGTCCAAATGGCTGTCATCGGATTGTTCTGGTTTGATCCATCACACTTCCTTAGAAAGTGGATCACTTCCTCAATGCACCCTGCTGAGAAAGGCCGTCCCAGCTTATCTGACACTGACCCTGTGACCTCCAGCTCCTGCCGTGCTGAACTTCTCAATGTTTTCCATGCCCTGAGGTGGTTTATGTCGTTCTTCCCCTGGACTGCGGGTCTGGGCTCCTCTTTTCCCCGGACCCCCAGCCCCTAGACAGGGTCTGCCCATGGGGAGGCTGGCTGACCAACGTGCATGCAGGGTCTGCAGGGGCCTTCGGATGCCAGCTCTGGCAGGTCCCCGAGTCACCGCTCCCTCCCCACCCACTGGGGGTGAGAAGGTTTCCTTCCACGCTGGGTCGTGAGGACTGCCAACGGACGTGGGAGCTTAGCGTGGTGCTTGGCAAGCGGACAGGAGCTGTGGGGTGGGGGGGACTGGCCGAGCGATCAGGCCTCTCTGCCCTCATCCACCGACGGTGATGCCGGCCGCTGCAGACAGCAGTCCGGACGGACAGACTCGGCTGCAAACCACAGAATGGACTTGTGGAAGAGAAGTGAGGCCTGTGTTTATTCATTTTATTCTGTGTCCTGACCGTCCAGGTCATTTCCATCTCTGTTCTCATCCTTGTCGCTGCAGAATGAATGGGCCACCTGGTAGAGCTTTCTGGGCGGGCACACAGCCACGAGGGTGTCCACAGTCTCCACCCTCCTGGGCAGCACCACCGTGCCCACTTACTTCCATGGGCAGTCCCTTTGGGTTAGACGTTTCTGGAATGCAGTTCATCCTTTGACCTCAGAGATGAAGTGATATAGGAAGACAAGGTTGTCCTCCAGCATGAAGCCCACTTCTCTTGGTCCTCTCTCTAGACCAGGGTCAGCAACCCCCAGCCAACAGGCCAGACCCATCCACTGCCTGTTCTTGTAAATAAAGTTTTATTGGCACACAGCCAGACCCATCCGCTTATGTTTTGCCATTGGCTGCTCTCTCGCTGCAAGGGCAGAGTTGAGTAGTTCAAACCGAGACCATTGCCTGCAAAACCTGAACCATTAACCATCCGGCCCCGTACGGAAACTAGGCTCTGGCCGTGTTGGCTCCCAGCCCTCAGACCCTCCCCACCTTCCTCTGCTCTTGTCCAAGGAGCCTGCAGCCTGGCCTCTCTTTGCTCCTGTGTATTATTCATGACCAGGGCTCGCCATGCTAATCGCTTAGATCACTATCTTCTCAGTGATTGTGGTTTTTCTCTCGCTGCCAGACCGAGGGGCTTTATATCTCGGGCATGATGTCTGTGCCGTAACAAAATCTTCTGCACTGCACTTCCTTTATCTGAACTTGAAACAACCCTCGGTTGTTTCAGGATCAGTTCTTGCTGCTCTTGTACTTTGCGGTTCCTGCTTTTTATTTTTATGGAAACGACATTTCATAATTGCTCTTTTGCAGCAGTGTCTGGCAGGTGAAACAGGACCTTCTTGTGAAACACGCTGGTCTCTAGAAGGGAAA